ACTTACTCATACTCAGACCTACACGTACTCAGACCTTCTCATAGTCTGAGTTGCTCAACGCACGGACTGATATCTACTCATGCTCAGAGCTAGTCATACTCAGACTCGCAAGGGGAGCCGCCAGGGGTGTTTTCACGGGCCCGTCAGCAGCCAATTTGTGGGGATGTCTCAAGCGGTTTGCTCGTTTTCATGCCCAACATCCTTGGCTTTCAAAGCAGATTGTGAGAATGTCTCAGACAGGGCGCTGGTTTCAGCACCCCTAAGGGGGGCCGCCAGGTGTGTTTTCACGGGCCCGTTCGCGGCCAGTTTGCGGGGATGTCTCAGGCGGTTTGCTCGCTTTCATGCCCAACATCCTTGGCTTTCAGATCAGATTTTGAGGATGTCTCAGGCGGGGCGCTGGTTTCAGCACCCCTGATGGGAGCCGCCAAGGGTGTTTTCACGGGCACGTTCGCGGCCAGTTTGTGGGGATGTCTCAGGCGGTTTGCTTGTTTTCATGCCCACCAGCCTTTGCTTTCAGAGCAGGTTTCGAGGATGTCTCAAGCGGGGCGCTGGTTTCAGCCCCCCTAAGGGGAGCCGCCAAGGATGGTTTCACGGGCCCGTTCGCGGCCAGTTTGTGGAAATGTCTCGGGCGGTTTGCTTGTTTTCATCCGAACGTCCTTGCCTTTCAGAGCAGGTTTTCGGGAGCGCTGGTTTCAGCACCCCCAAGGGGGGCTGCCAAGGGAAAAACTCTTTTTCCCGGCAAACTCGACTTTTTCCCGGCAAACTGGACTGTTTCCCGGCGATCCGTTTCAGAAACATTGAAAGCTTTTGAAGGAGTGGATAGGGAGCACAGTGGGACAGTGGATAGGGAGCGCAGCTTTTGAAGGAGTGGATAAGGAGTTTCGGACATCCGTTTTCCGTTTCAGGAGGACAGTGGGAGCAGGAGTCGGATCCATGATCAGTGAGGGGGAGGACGAGGGAGGATTGGGAAGGTGGATGATGGAGGGTGTCGTTCGTCGTCGTCATTCGTCGTAGTCGGTCGTCAGGTCCTCGCACTCGTCTTCTTCGGTCGTCGGTCGTCGCCGCCGACGTGCTCTCTCGCGCGCGCGCGCCGCCCCCTGAGGAGACGAGGGGGGGGATGAGGAGGAGCAGGACGAGGAGGAGGATCAGGAGAATAAGGCAGATGATGACGATGATGCTGATGATGAGAAGGGTGAGGATAAGGAAGACGAGCAGTTGGATGAGTATGAGGATATGGGCGGACGAAGGGCCGCTGGGGATGAGGAAGACCATGATGATGATTACGATGATGATGATGATGATGATGATGACGATGATGATGATGACGATGATGACGACGACGGTGATGATGATGATGATGATGATGATGATGATGATGATGATGATGATGTTGATGACGATGACGATGACGATGACGATGACGATGACGATGATGATGATGATGACGATGATGATGACATGACGATGACGATGACGATGACGATGACGATGACGATGACGATGATGATGATGATGATGATGATGATGATGATGATGATGATGATGATGATGATGATGACGACGACGACAACGACGACGACGATGGTGATGATGGCCGATGGGGATGAGGAAGGCCGCCCTTGCGGTTTTCTGTGGCTGCCTTCGGGCCTTCTTGGCCGTCTGGAGGGTCTCGTGGTGCCGTCTTGAGCCATCGAGGAGCCTTTGAGGCCGTCTTGGGTCCTTCCGGACGCCCTTTTGGGCCCGCTTGAGGCTCTCTTGGGGCCGCCTTGGGCCAGCTTGGGGCACTCTTGGGGCCGTCCTGGGTCGCCGATGAGGCCTTTTGGGCCGTGCTGAGGACGTCTTGGAGGCCACTAGTATTGATGTTATTAGTGGTACTACCAATGCTGTCCATGTATGTACACCTCAGACTGCTATGATTGGATGTGCGACTGCTGCTCCCGATACTGCATCCGATACTGTGCGACTACTGCTGCCGACTTGGATGCCTCTTGGGGCCCTCTTGGCACGTCTTGGGGCCTTCGTGGGCCCGAAAAAGTCACGCGGCCAGCTGCGACAAGGCCCAAGGCAGCTGCGACAAGGCCCAAGGGAACCGCGACAAGGCCCGGGAGATTTTGCAATTTGGGCTCTGGTGCCCTTAATGATTCCTCAGGAGCGAGGACTCAGGCTCAGGGGACGAGGCAGAGGACCTCAGGAAACGCCCACTCCGTGCCCAGAGGCACGGTGGCGGATAACCAGTAGTACGTCTACCTGGACGGTTTTTGACATCGCTTACGAATACTTCTGCTTTTACTACCACTAATCTTTCCACTACTACAACTACTATTCGTAATCTCACTATCCTTAATACAATCACTCCTAGTAGTACTAACTACTACTACTACTACTACTACTACTACTACTACTACTACTACTACTACTACTACTACTACTACTACTACTACTACTACTACTACTACTACTACTACTACTACTACTACTACTACTACTACTACTACTACTACTACTACTACTACTACTACTACTACTACTACTACTACTACTACTACTACTACTACTACTACTACTACTACTACTACTACTACTACTACTACTACTACTACTACTACTACTACTACTACTACTATTACTATTACAAACACTGCGAGGAGTAGTGCTACGGCGAAGGCCGCACGACACAAGTCAACCACTGGACTCTTTCCCGGCTAGGATCTGCGCAGCGGGAGTTGGAGACCCTTAAGGTGATAGTGGGATTTTCGGAAATCCATGCTTCAAGCTTCCATACAGAAACTAAGCAAACTGGACTCTTTCCCGGCGGAGCGCCGGGGAAAAGTCCAGTTTGCCGGGAAAAAGCCCAGTTTGCCGGGAAAAAGTGGACAACCGCTGCCAAGGGTGTTTTCACGGGCCCGTTCGCGGCCAGTTTGTGGGGATGTCTCAGGCGGTTTGCTTGTTTTCATGCCCAACATCCTTGGCTTTCAAAGCAGATTTTGAGGGTGTCTCAGGCGCGGCGCTGATTTCAGCATCCTTTAGGGGAGCCGCCAAGGGTGTTTTCACGGGCCCATTCGCGGCCAGTTTGTGGGGATGCCTCAGGCGGTTTGCTTGTTTTCATGCCCAACATCCTTGGCTTTCAAAGCAGGTTTTGAGGATGTCTCCGACGGGACGCTGGTTTCAGCACCCCTAAGGGGGGCCGCCAGGTGTGTTTTCACGGGCCCATTCGCGGCCAGTTTGTGGGGATGTCTCATGCGGTTTGCTCGTTTTCATGTCCTTGGCTTTCAAAGCATAGTTTGAGGATGTCCCAGGCGGGGCGCTGGTTTCAGCACCCCTAAGGGGAGCCGCCAGGGGGTGTTTTCACGGGCCCGTTCGCGGCCAGTTTGTGAGGGATGTCTCAGGCGGTTTGCTTGTTTTCATGCCCACCATCCCTTGTTTTCAAAGCAGGTTTCGAGGATGTCTCAAGCGGGGCGCTGGTTTCAACATCCCTAAGAGGAGCCGCCAAGGGTGCTTTCACGGGCCCTTTCGCGGCCAGTTTGTGGGGATGCCTCAGGCGGTTTGCTCGTTTTCATGCCGACATCCTTGGCTTTCAAAGCAGGTTTTGAGGATGTCTTAGGTGGGGTGCTGGTTTCAGCACCCCTAAAGGGAGCCGCCAGAGATGCTGCCACGGGCCCCGCTCGCGGCCAATTTGTGGAACTGTCTCGGGCGGTTTGCTCGTTGTCATGCACAGCATCCTTGGCTTTCAGAACAGTTTTTGGGGGCGCTGGTTTCAGCACCCCTAAGGGGAGCCGCCAGGGGTGTTTTCACGGGCCCGTCAGCAGCCAATTTGTGGGGATGTCTCAAGCGGTTTGCTCGTTTTCATGCCCAACATCCTTGGCTTTCAAAGCAGATTTTGAGGGTGTCTCAGGCGCGGCGCTGGTTTCAGCATCCTTTAGGGGAGCCGCCAAGGGTGTTCTCACGGGCCCGTTCGCGGCCAGTTTGTGGGGATGCCTCAGGCGGTTTGCTCGTTTTCATGCCCAACATCCTTGGCTTTCAAAGCAGGTTTTGAGGATGTCTCAGGCGGGGCGCTGGTTTCAGCACCCCTAAGGGGAGCCGCCAGGGGTGTGTTCACAGGCCCGTTCGCGGCCAATGTGTGGGGATGTCTCAAGCGGTTTGCTCGTTTTCATGCCCACCATCCTTTGCTTTCAAATCAGATTTTGAGGATGTCTCAGGCGCGGCGCTGGTTTCAGCACCCCCAAGGGGGGCTGCCAAGGGTGTTTTCACGGGCCCATTCGCGGCCAGTTTGCGGGGATGTCTCAGGCGGTTTGCTGGTTTTCATGACCAACGTCCTTGGCTTTCAAAGCAGATTTTGAGGATGTCGCAGGCGGGGCGCTGGTTTCAGCACACCTAAAAGGAGCCGCCAGGAGGTGTTTTCACGGGTCCGTTCGCGGCCAGTTCGCGGGGATGTCTCAGGCGGTTTGCTTGTTTTCATGCCCACCATCCTTTGCTTTCAAAGCAGGTTTCGAGAATGTCTCAGGCGCGGCGCTGGTTTCAGCACCCCAATAGGAGAGCCGCCAGGGGGTAGGACACGGGACCGTTCGTTATTATAGTCAAACGCATGAACAGACGCTCACTATGGCATTACATAAAAACATGAGATGTACATATGGGGAGCTCCACGCAGTGAGTAATGGTCCTTTTCCTCCTCCTCCTCTTCCTTCTCCTTCTCCTTCCCCGCCTCCCACTGAAAACGAGGCCAGGACCAAGACGACGTCGGACCAGGGCGAATCAAGGACCTCTGAGATCCAGAGCTCTGGAGGATGTATTGCGCGCCGCGGCCTTTCCAGAGAGCTCCAACACGTTCTGAGAGCGTTCCAGAAGGCTCTGGGTCGAATTATCCTGGTACCAGCTCTGCCCGAACCACTCCTCCTCCCTCACCCTCATCCACTTCCCTCTCCTCCTCCTCCTCTCTTCCTCCGCCTCCTTCTACTCCCCCCCTCTCCCCCGCCTCCGCTTCCTCCTCCCCGAGCAGGTGCCTCGAAGCCCTCGTCGTAGATCATGGTCCAATTACCCGCGTCGTCCAACCGGGTCTGGGGAGTTTTCAGGAAGGCCGGACTGACCGCCAGTGCAGCAAAGCAATGAACACTGCGAACGGGGAGATGAAGGCCGAGGGCGGAAAGGAGGACGGCGAGAGCGCCAGTGAGGGTAAGACTGGTGGGGGAGGAGGAAGCATGAGGTGAAGACGGAGAGGGAGGGAGGGAGGGTGGGTGGGATGACGAGGAGGGAGGGAGGAAGGGAGGGAGAAAGAGAGAGAGAGAGAGGGAGAGAAAGAGAGAGAGAGAGAGAGGGAGAGATAGAGGGAGGAGAGAGATGAGGAGGTGGAGGGAGGATAGCAAGGGGCCAGAAATGATGATGGTTATGATGATGGGGAGGATGATGATCCTGACGATGATTATGGTGATGACGGCGAGGCTTTAAGGACGAGGATCAGGACGACGATGACGAGGGAAGGGAGGGAGAAGGGAGAGGAGGGATCATACACAATCAGGCCTGCTCCAGCAAGGGCTTGGCTGGGGCCTGCCTGGTCGGTTTTTTCTTTGTCCCGCTCCCCTGGTTGGAAGGGCAAGAACACCCAACACAACGAAGCCAGACAGAACACGGCACCGGGATTCAATCATCTTGAGACCTCTGAGAGCTGGCGGACCTGGGTGATGTATCGGGCGCCGCGGCCATTCGAGAGCGTTCTTGGACGCTTTGAAAAAAGGGTGCATCTTCATCCCAGGCCGGCCTGCATGGCCAACATCCATCTCCTGTGGTTGCTGCCACGGAGGTGCAGCTTGCACTGGCCCCTGCTCGAGTGCAACCAAGCGACGTGCTTGTCTCCTCCCCCTCCTCCTCCTCCTCCAAATTACGTTCTCCTCCTCGTGGTCCTGGTCCCCTCCTCCCCCACCTCTCCCCCCGAGGGAGCGCGGCAGAGGAGGCGGGAGGGGGGATGGGGCCTGGGTGAGACGCAGCGCGGACAACCACCAGCGCTGGTCCAGTCACAGGCTGAGTACCCCACCTACCCATGCCCCCGTCCAAGACAGTCGCCCGCGCTGACCTGTCCGGCTGGACAGTCGTCAACGAGAGAAGGAATACACTCGGGAACATTCGCTTAGCGTGTCACCGCGGCGGCCCCGGTGACACGCTATGCCTTGCGAGCGGATGGTGTGTCGCTCCGCTCCGCGGGGCGGGGTGCTCGGAAACGCTCGGGGCGTTGACGCTCGAGGACTGCGAAGGGGGCACGGTGTCGCGCCGCAGCGTGGGTAGGCCCAAACTTGCGGAGCGACACGCTACCCAGAAGTTCCCAACCGTAGTATCAAACAGGATGCAATAGACAACTGTGATATGGAGCCTTGCTCTACGAAGTCTGGGGGCACGCTTATCGTCGAGCGTGAGCTCCCTGAGGTGTCCCAAGGCTTCAATGGGCCTCCTGGGCCACCGGGGGATATGAAACTTCCGTGTAGTACCTGCCGCCTTGGCCAGGAAGGCATATGCACCGATCCTGGGGCCAAGGATGGGCCTGGCCAGGACCGGTGCATGTGCATAGTTCTCTTCGCCCGATGTTTTTCTGACAGCGCAGATCGTCGGACATCGGCCGATCCTAGGCAGCTGGCGGCGTTCAGCCTCGAACGCCCGCGCTGGGGTCGCCGCCACGCCGGCGCCGCGCGAAGCTGCCGTGCCCCTGCTACTGCAGGGTCGACCCTGCCACGGTCAGGGACTTGTGTTTGCCGCGGCGGTGGCCCCGGCGATGCGCAATGCCCTCCGTGTGGATAGCGTGTCGTTCCGCTCCGCGTGGCGGGGGCTGAGAAGAGCTCGGGAGTTGGCGCTTGAAGACCGAAACGTGTTTAGCAAGTCGCGCCAAAGCGCAGTGGTCTAGAACCCGTGGCGCGATACGCGAAGCGACGCTCCCTGAGCGCAGCCAGACACGACTGCATCGGTGGCCCCTCTGCGGGAAGCGGCGGAAGAACGGCCCCGCCCGCAAGGGTGCCCACGGTGGAGCCGCGGAGCCACGCAAGAGAGCCCTCGGTGCCTTCGGGGCCGACTTGCTCGTTAGACCTGGCCGCGTCGGTGGCCCCTCAGTTCGACTGTGCGAAAGAGTGCCCCTGGGCATGGGTAACCTTTGGGGCGCGGGGGAGGGGGGGCAATCCCAACTGCGCACGCAGCGGCTACCCTCAGGTCGGGCGTGCCACCCTACAAGGGAATTTTGGACGAACAAATAATCAAAACATGCACCAAAAATGCTCAAACATATTCAAAACATGGTCCCCCGATTTTTTCCCCAGCCAACCTGTGTTGTTGGGTCCTCGTTTTGAAGAGACGGTCCCCGCGTCTCCTCCTCCTCCTCCTCCTCCTCCTCCTCCTCCCTCCTCCCCTCCTCTCGTCAGCATCATCATCATCATCATCATCATCATCATCATCATCATCATCATCATCATCATCATCATCATCAGCATCATCATCATCATCGTCCCCATAGGAGCTCCGCCGAAGGTCCCAGTGGCACAGTTCGCACGCGTCGTTCGGCACACCCTTCACACGTTTCGTGGCCTCATAGAAGCTCCGCCGAAGGTCCCAATGGCACAGTTCGCATGCGTCCCCGCCACTCATTCCGGCACTCCCCTCACACGTTGCGTGGCCCCATAGGGGCTCCGCCGAAGGTCTCAATGGCACATTTCGCATGCGCCCCCGCCATTCATTCCGGCACATCCCTCAAACGTTTCGTGGCCCGATAGGAGCTCCGCCGAAGGTCCCAGTGGCACAGTTCGCATGCGTCCCCGCCACTCATTTCGGCACACCCCTCACACGTTTCGTGGCCCCATAGGGGCTCCGCCGAAGGTCACAGTGGCACAATTCGCATGCGTCCCCGCCACTCATTTCGGCCCACCCCTCACACGTTTCGTGGATCCGCAGGAGCTCCGCCGAAGGTCCCAGTGGCACATTTCGCACGCGTCCCCGCCATTCATTTCGGCCCACCCCTCACACGTTTCGTGGCCCCATAGAAGCTCCTGATTTCGGCACACCCCTCACACGTTTCGTGGCCCCATAGGGGTTCCGCCGAAGGTCCCAGTGGCACAGTTCGCATGCGTCCCCGCCATTCATTTCATTCCGGCACACCCCTCACACGCTTCGTGGCCCAATAGGAGCCCCGCCGAAGGTCCCAGAGGCATAGTTCGCATGCGTCCCCGCCATTTATTTCGGCACACCCCTCACACGTTTCGTGGCCCCATATGGGGCTCCGCCGAAGGTCTCAGTGGCACAGTTCGCATGCGTCCCCGCCACTCATTTCGGCACCCCTTCACACGTTTCGTGGCCCCATCGGAGCCCCACCGAAGGTCCCACTGGAACAATTCGCATGCGCCCCCGCCGCTCATTTCGGTCCACCCCTCACACGTTTCGTGGCCCCATATGGGGCTCCGCCGAAGGTCCCAGTGGTACAGTTCGCACGCGTCCCCGCCACTCATTTCGGCAAAACCCTCACACGTTTCGTGGCCCCATATGGGGCTCCGCCGAAGGTCCCAGTGGGACAGTTTGCATGCGTTCCCGCAGCCCATTTCGGCACACCCCTCGCGCGTTTCGTGGCTCCATATGGAGCTCCGCCGAAGGTCCCAGTGGCACGGTTCGCATGCGTCCCCGCCACTCATTTCGGCAAAACCCTCACACGTTTCGTGGCTCCATAGGGGCTCCGCCGAAGGTCCCAGTGGGATAGTTTGCATGCGCTCCCGCAGCCCATTTCGGTACACCCTTCGCGCGTTTCGTGGCTCCATATGGAGCTCCGCCGAAGGTCCCAGTGGCGCGGTTCGCATGCGTCCCCGCCACTCATTTCGGCACACCATTCACACGTTTCGTGGCCTCATAGAAGCTCCGCCGAACGTCCCACAGGCACAGTTCGCATGCGTCCCCGCCATTCATGTCGGCACACCCCTCACACGTTTCGCGGCCCCATAGGGGCTCCGCCGAAGGTCTTAGTGGCACAATTCGCATGCGCCCCCGCCATTCATTCCGGCACACCCGTCACACGTTTCGTGGCCCCGTAGGAGCTCCGCCGAAGGTCCCAATGGCACAGTTCGCACGCGTCCCCGCCATTCATTTCGGCCCACCCCTCACACGTTTCGTGGATCCGTAGGAGCTCCGCCGAAAGTCCCCGTGGCACAGTCCGCATGCGTCCCCACCATTCATGTCGGCACACCCCTCACACGTCTCGTGCAGCGGACGACCCGCGCGCGTCGCTGGGACCCATCCGGGGCGACCTGCGCGCGTCGCGGGGACTCCGCGCTGCGCTGCGCCCGCAGCCTTGGACTTTTGAGTGCGCGTGCAAAGAGGGCGTAAAACAAGGGGAGGAAGCGGGCGCGATCATCGCGGGGGGGCGCGCCGACATTGGCGTCGCGGCGATGCCGTCGGGGAGTCCCGGGGAAACTCCTTGCGGCGGCCACGCCCAGCGTCACGAGTACTCAGAAGCAGTCGTTCTCAAACTACTGACATTTATATGCAAGTACACCATGCTTTGTCATACTTGCATTCATGCACGTAGACTCGCTCGCACGCAGATTCAATCACAGTCAGACGCACTCGCGCTCATATTCACCCGCGCTCAGTCTCCCTACGTACTCAGATCAATCGTTTTCGTTCGCGTTGTACCACGCCACTCATTTCGGCACGCACCTAGCACGATTCGTTGCCTCATTGGGATCACCACCGAAAAAGTGAATCACAATTGCGGTACTCACACCTGCATATGGTTGGGTCCTTCGTCAAGCCATTTTTTGTCAACAAAAAACTATGTTTGAATACTCCTCCTGTAGAGGGGCAAGCCCGACTTCAGGCTACCCCATCATCGCAGTCGGCCATCGGGGGACCCTGGTGGGCCCGCACCAGAGGTAACTCCGGCGAAGGGCCACTCTTACGCGCAGTCGATCGGTGGGATCGGCGGAGGGTGCAGGCCCGCCGGCGCGGCGGAGTCGGGCGGCCCGCGCCCACGCCTGCGCAACGTTGGGGCTGCCAAGGGTGATCCGCTTCTGCTCCTGGATCTCGGCCAGGGAGACCTGCACTGGCGGGGCAACCCGAACGCCCGTGACGACGGCGATGACGACGACGGTGGCGGTGGTGATGATGGTGATTCTGGTAATTGCGATCACGATTGGATAGGAACTGCCACATGATGGCGGCGATGGCGGCCACGTCCCCTCAAGGCTGTCTCCACCTCGGACGCAGCGACGGAGAACGATAGCCACTCGCCGACCACTCGCGTACAAACATGGCGGTTCGATAGCCTTACGAATCGAGACTCAACCAAACTGGACGGACGGCATCTACTCATCGGCAACGGAAGCACGCCATCATATGAATCCACACGGTACTACCGCTGCTGAGCTGAAGCAAGAAGAACAAGCACTCGCGACGTATGCCAGTTCGAATCATTTGTGTGAAGACATATGAGTTGATTCTTTGTGTGTTGTATAGAATGAAACCCTTTCTCTAATCATTCCGAACGCCAGGAAAAGAAATGTAGATCACATGAACGGCCCCTACCATATATATATGTATATATATATGTACACACATAGAGAATTAGTTGATTCTACATGCCGAAATGGATCTCTTTCTCTCTCTCTATGTATATACACATATATATATATATATATATATATATATATGTGTATACTAGAAACAGGCGCGCGCGTTTCGCGCGCTTAGGTTCTAGTAAGCATCGTCCCTTGGCAAGTTCACTGCTGCGTGCATGTACGCATGCTGTTTACAGCTGTTCGCAACGCCTTGACACATTCCCAGCTGTACTGCTCTCTCCTACATTGTGCGAGCCGTTCAATGCGCTCTCGCCGCCCTTGTTGTCACTACAATGGCCGCTGTCGCCTCCGTCGCCGTAGCCGTCGTCGTCGTTCTCGTCGTCGTCGTCGTTGTCGACGGCATCAATATTGACAGTCTTTGGAGGCTTCCCCAGATTCTACGTGTTTGCATTGTCCCCTCCTCACTCCTCCTCCTCCTCCTCCTCCTCCTCCTCCTCCTCCTCCTCCCCCTCCCCCTCCTCCTCCCCCTCCTCCTCCTACTCCTCCTCCTCCTCCAGGGGCGCACTGGGCTACGATTCGAGCGGAGTTGCAGGAGGAATGCATTGAACAGCGTGCATAAATTCGTTAGTTTCTCGCGTCGTGTCGCTCCAATGTTCGTAGCGCGCGTTTCGCGCGCGCTTAGGTTCTAGCACGCCGTAGCCCGTGGCCAGCTCACAGCTGCACTCACTACAATTGCCTTGAATCTTTGCCCTGGGAAATGCAAGGCCGCGGATCCAACAGAGACGAATCGACGACACGGGTACACCCGACAAATTTAAAACGACTATATGTAAATACAGGTGTCCTTTTGGGGCGCCTTTCGCGGACGCCGCGAAAGCCTCTTGAGCTACCCAAGCTATTTCTCGGGCCGTGTTGTGACTCCCCTGGGCCGTCTTGAAGTCTTTTTTGAGCCACTGGGAAGCTCCGGGGACTTCCTCAAGAGCATGGTGGGTCGTCTACGTGGGGCTCCTGTGGGGCATCTCTGGATCTTCTGGGGGAGCTCTTCGGTGCATATTGGACGCCTATTTGGTGTCTATTGGCGGCCCCGCCGGGGCGCTTCTGGGGCCTCAATTCTCCTGGGGGCCTCCTTGGCTGTCTCAGAGCGTTCGTGGCCCGACGCCTTCGGATGCCGTTTTGGATGCCTCCGTGGGCAATCTGGGAACTTTCTGGGGGCGTCTTCGGGCTGTCATCGGAGCTTCTTGGGCTCGTCTTGGGGGCCCCTTGGGCCCTCTTGGGGTGGTTCTGCGCCGCCTTGAGGCCCTCTTGGGGGCTGACTGGGTCGCCTGAAAAGCAACATTGAAGGCCACGTTAGCCGTCTTCGACGCTGTTAAGAGCAGCTGGGCAAGACTGCTAAAATTGCACGAACACATATCGTTCTTCAACAGTTTAGGTCTCTCGGAGGCTTCCTGGAAGGCCTCTCGGAGCTCCATTCGGGCGGTCTTCGTCCGCCTCGGGGGCCTCTTCGGCCCTTTTACGATCATCTTGGACCGTCTTGGGAGCGTCTTTGCGGCCTCTGAGCGTCATGTGGGGTCGCCGAAACAAGGTTTCGAGGTCCAGAATAACCCCTGGACAACTCAAAGGGCCGTCGGCGCCCGGGACTAAACTTTTGACGCCGGGGGGGTGGGGCGGAGTGGGCCGCCCCCTGGCCCAGGGACCCGGTCGCCGGCTAGAACCACGCGCACACGCTTCGCACGCGCTCAGGTTCTAGCCGCGCCTGGGGAACGCGCACCGCAAATTGCGCCTTTCGTGAAGCTCCCTATGGGGTCTCGATCCTCGTGAGGGATGTGCCGACACTGGCGCGGTCACGCTTTGGGGCCTGCGGTGAGCTCCCTATGCGGCCACGATCCTCGTGAGGGGTGTGCCGAAATGGGCGCCGTCACGCGTGCGAACCCTGCCAATGCCGCCTTCGGTGAAGCTCCTCTAGACCCACGATCCTCGTTGAAGGTGTGCCGAAATGGACGTCGCCACGCATGCGAACTCTGCCACTGGGGCCTGCGGCGGAGCTCCCATCGGGAGCTACGATCCTCGTGAGGGGTGTGCCGAAGTGGGCGCCGTCACGCGTGCGAACCCTGCCAATGCGACTTTCGGAGGAGCTCCCTAGGGGGCCACGATCCTCGTTAGCGGTGTGCCGAAATGGACGCCGTCACGCATGCGAGCCCTAACGCTGGGGCCTGCGGTGGAACTCCCAATGAGGCCACGATCCTTGTGAGGAATGTGCCGACACGGGCGCCGTCAGGTATGCGCACCCTTCCACTGTTGCCTGCGGTGGGGCTCTCGACGGAAGCTACGATCCTCGTGAGGGGTGTGCTGGCGCCGTCACACATGCGCACCCATGCCACTGGGGCCTTTTGTGGAGCCAGCTATGGGGCCACGATCCTCGTGGGGTGTGTGCCGAAGTGGGCGACGTCACGCATGCGAACCCTGTCACCGGGGCCCACTTTGGACCTCCCTACCTATGGGGCCATGATGCTCGTGAGGGTGTGCCGACATGGGCGCCGTCACGCATGCGAGCCCTGCCGCTGCTGCTATTGGTGGAGCTACCTCTGTGGGCTACGATCCTCGTGAAAGGTGTGCCGGAATCGGCGCAGTCACAAATGTGAATCCAGCCAATGGGGCTTTCGGTGGAGCTCCCTGTTGGGCCACGATCCTCGTGAGTGGTGTGCCGAAATGGTTGCTGTCAAACATACGAACTGCAAACACTACTACAGAGTCCCTCTGTGGAGCTTTCTGTGGCCACGAGGCGTGTATAGTGGGTGATGATGATTATGATGATAATGGTGATGATGATGACGACGATGATGAAGATCTTGATGCGGATGCTGATGGCCATGGCGATGGTGATGATGCCGATGATGCACGAAAAGGAGGATGAGGAGAGGAAGGAATAAGAGGAGGGAGGAACGCGGGGCACTGCCCTTTGCAAATGAGGACCCAAGAAAACAGGTTATTGGGAAACGATAACGTCGTTATGTTGCTGCAGTCCATCCACGGACAGGCGCTCCAGTGAGGGTAGGTGGGGATGACGAGAGAGCGGAATGTGATGAGGGCGAGGATGAGGATGAGGAATTTTCGTGTGCAGCGTGACCCTGGCCAGAACCTCCACAGCTGCTGCCTTCATCAGCAGAGATAGTTGCGCGAGCAGATCCGAGGTTCGCCTGCCCGGTGGACTATGATACAACGGCAGCGGCTTTGCTTAACCGAAAGGGTCGTCGGGGCATTGAAAACCACAAGATGGGAGAGGAATTTCCCTGGCAACGGCACGTTCAAGCTCCGTCGACCAGCTGTGGCAGGCCGGCGAGGGCCGGAAAGCCAGGTGACTCTGTTGCGAAGGGGCGGCGTTCTGTACAGTGCCGTTGGGTTCGCTCGGGCAGGAGACGAGGATGATCCGAAGAGAGGAAGAGTCCTCCTCCTTCTTCACCTCCTCCTCCTTCTTCACCTCCTCCACCTCCTCCTCCTCCTTCTTCACCTCCTTCTTCTTCTGTTCCTCCTCCTCCTTCTTCACCTCCTTCTTCTGCTCCTGTGGCCCAAAAACGAAACACGGCTTTGGAACTAATCGCCTTCGAGCTCTAGTCCCTCGGAACACGCACACGCTTCGCGCGCTTAGGTAAACCCGCCTTCGACTTGTTCATTGCTACGTGCACGTACGCATGTAGTTCATAGCTTTTCGCAGTTCCTTGACAAAGTCACCACTGTAGTGATGTCTCCTATATGGTGCGAGCCATTTAATGCGCTCTCGCCGCCATCGTTGTCACTGCAACGGCCGCCGTCGCCGCCGTAGCCGTAGCCGTCGCCGTCGTCGTCGTCGTCGTTGTCGTCGTCGTCGTCGACGGCATCGTTGTCGAAAGGCTTAGGATGCTTCCCCAGATTTTACGTGTTTGCATCGTCCCCTCCTCCTCCTCCTCCTCCTCCTCCTCCTCCTCCTCCTCCTCCTCCTCCAGGAACGCATCGGACTACGATTCGAGGGGAGTTGCAGGAGGAATGCATTGAACAGCTGGAATCTAATCGTTAGCTCGCTTCGTTTCATTCCGATGCTCGTAGCGCGCGTTTCGCGCGCGCGCTTAGGTTCTAGCACGCCCCAGCCCGTGGGCAGCTCACAGCTGCACTCAAATAGACACGCACAAATGCCTTGAACATGAATTGAATACATAATGAGACCGCGGATTCAACTCAGACGAATCGACACGGGCACACCCTAAAAAAAAACGCCAAGCTATGTCACGACGGGTGCTCTTTTGGGCCACCTCTCGCGGACGTCGCGAAAGCCTCTTGAGCCATCCAAGCTATTCATTGGGCAGTGTTGCCCTTGGATCGTCTTAAACTCTCTTCTCAGCCACTTGGGAAGCTCTGTGGACATCCAAACGAGCCTGGTGGGTCGTCGTGGTGCCGATTGTGTCCAAGCCCGCGTGGGGCTTCTTTCGGGTCTCTTTGGATCGTCTGGGGAAGCTCTTGGGGTCATCTTGGAGGCCTATTTGGCGCTATTGGG